TTTACTTGAAAACTCTGCCCTTTGCTTCTATCCACTCTATCATAAGCCTTTTAAAAATCCAAAATGCAATAAAAACTTCCAACCTTTTTTAAAATGCTGTTCACATAAAAGCTTCAAGTAAACACTTGTCTCCCAACCCCCTACCCCTCTAAACCTCCTTGCTCTCCGAAATCCTACATTTGTCTTACCCTAATTCTTTCAATTAAAAACCCTACCGTACACTTTCCGGGTATACTCAGAAAACTTTTTCCTCTTAATTTTACAGTCTCTTTTGTCCCCTTTCCTTTTTAAAAAGGGGGAAAATTTACATGCCTCCGCCAATCCCTAGGTCCTTCCCCCTTTCATACATTTTTTTAAACAAAAGTCCCACCACCCCAAACACTATATCCCCCCTGCTTTTAACTTTCGTTTTGATCCCTCAGTTCCGCTGCTTACCCCTTCCATTCTAATAATGCCTCACTACCCCCCCAACTTACATTTTTTGCTCTTCTTCACCCCCAAAAAGAGGTAACCTCCCTGACCAGTGCATAAAAAAATTTTCCCTCTTTTTCCCCTAACTTTTAAAAAATTTCCTCAAATATTCTCGCCATCTTTTAAATACCTCCATTCCCCATTACAAACCCCCCCCTACTCTGTTTTTAACTGAAAATCCATATTTTCCCCAGGCTTTCTTAATTTGTTTAACTCACTCCAAAATTTTTTCTTATTTTCATTAAAATTTTAAACGGCCCCTCTCCCACTCTATCATCTGCTCTCCTTTTGCACTCCTCCCCCCTCTCTTTCCCTTTTCTTTTACTCCCATTACTCTGCTCTTCTTAAAACTTCGCTTTGTAAAAACCTTCATAAACTCCCTTTTTTTCTCTTTTATCACCCCCTTTACTTCATCTTTCCACTAATACTCCTCTTTCCTCCTCCCCCCACCCTCCTATCCCAAAAAACTTCTGCCCCCATTCTAATACTTATTTTTAAAAATAAAAACCAACCCTCTTTAACCCCCCCCCCCCCCTATCATCTTTGCACTAGCCCACCTTTCTCCAATAGTCGTTATATCCACCCGAACTTCCTCCTCCCTTAGTTTATACACTTTCACCTCCCTCTTTCTTTTTGTTGCCCCCCTTCCCTTTTCCCATCTACCTCTTACTCAACTGTACTACAATAAATAATGATCCGATATATCAGTTGCCCCTCTATAAAATTAATCCTGGAGCCCACCCCCCCCAAACCTTTTATCCACCAATACATAATCTAATAAACTACTTTCATTTCGTCACATCATACCTTGTATATTTATTTATCCTCTTTTTCATAAAATATGTATTACTTATTACCAAATCTCATATTACCCAATAAACAATTTCTATAATTTCTTATTACCAATGCTAATTTTCTAAATATCTATATGACCCTTATGGGTTTAGTGCTTAGTTATGATAAAAATTTAAATTTCTAAAAAACTTTTTGGGTTTATATAAAAAGAAATTGATTTGTATAGCTTATTAATTTAGTACTGTATAAACCTCCAATGTAATATAACAAATAATTGTAAACTTGTGATGATTTTAAATATTCAAGATGTGACACTTTGTATATACCGTACAGTGAAACCTTGGCTTACGTATGCCCCACCATGCAAATTTTTCAGGATACGAATCGTTGTTCGGTCGATTTTTTGCTTCTGGATACGAAGGAAATTTTAGGATGCGAACTTCCCCCTCAAGGGAGGTTCCTTAAATAAATAAATAAATAAAATATTTATTTCTTTGCATAGGTTACAATGTGTGTTTACATATCATAATATAATTGGAGCAAAGAAAGCCACTATCATGCCGAGGCATTTTGGGCAGACTTAACCTAATACTAATAGACTACTAAGTCTAGACAGGTGAAAAGTGTACTAGTAGTGGTTACCAATGTTTTGTGGATGGTGGCACCAAGTACTGGCAGCCTTTTGAAGTTTCTCCTTGTTATTATTATTATTATTATTATTACATTGTATTATTATTACTGTTATAATAATTATTATTAGTAGTAGTATGTACGTGGTGATGGGCTCTTGATCTAGGGAATTGGATCTGTGCTCCAGTTCCCTAAATTAATAATAATAATAATAATAATAATAATAATAATAATAATAATAATATTATTATTATAATACGTATGTATTAATAATAATAATTATAATACGTACGTAGTACTACTACTACTACTAATAATAATAATAACAATAATAATAATAATAATACAATAGTAGTAGTAATAATAATAATAATAATAATAATAATAATAATAATATGTTGTAATTTTTAGACATTTCTCGTAATTTTTTTTTTTTCATATTTTTGTGCCAAATGCTTCAAAATACAAATAGGTAACTCTGTGGGTGGCTGTAGGTACTTCTGGACCACAGCTATCTCAGTGCCAACCAAGGGTTAATAGGAAGAGCAGCAGACCCTTGGGATGTGTAATTTTGTCTTATATTGTACAAATTTCTTACACAATGCCTCACCCAAAGAGACAGTATTCGTGTACAATCAGCAAGAAGCGATTAGAAACTATGAAAAAAGCTAGAGAAATGAAGAAGGCAGCAGCATAGAGTGAGGCAGCTGGCCACCACCACAACTGTGGCCACCACCACAACTGTGGCCGCCGCCACAGTGGTAGTGGATAGATAACTAAGCCGTATAGTTGATATTAGCATTATTTTGTCATGCCTCCTGAGAGGCTGGAACGGATTAATTGCATTTCAATTAATTTAAATGAGGAAAATTAACTCAGCATACGAACAAACCAGGATACAAACAAGGTCACGGAACGGATTAAATTCGTAAGCTGAGGTTTCACTGTACTTACTGAAAGTGTATACTAAAATAAGGCAGTAATAATAAAAATTAAGGTTAGGGTATTTTCATTTTCTTGGATCAAGAGCCTTTTATCAATGTACCCCTTTGACAGAATTATCTTGAATTCTGCCTGATTATAATGATTGACCAAGCATCTCTGTTTTGCATATTATACAATGCCTGTATCTGTTTAACATTAAAATTCATCTACAGTATTAAACAGAAATAATTTGTATATTTTGGCTCAAATAAAACAGACAAAACTTGAGGTAACTGACGGGTATTTATATTTTTTTATTAACACATTGGTCAATTCCCACCAATGCAGGGTGGCCCAAAAAAGAAAAACTTCCATCATCATTCACTCCATCACTGTCTTGCCAGAGGCATGCTTACATTATAGTTATAAAACTGCAACATTAACACCCCTCCTTCAGAATGCTGGCACTGTACTTCCCATCTCCAGGACTCAAGTCTGGCCTGCTGGTTTCCCTGAATCTCTTCGTAAATATTATCTTGCTCACACTCCAACAGCATGTCAAGTCCTAAAAACCCCTTTGTCTCCATTCGCTCCTAACATGCTCACGCAAGCTTGCTGGAAGTCCAAGCCCCTCACACACAAAACCTCCTTTACTCCCCCTCCAATCTTTCCTAGGCCATCCCCTAAACCACCTTCCCTCCACTACAGATCTATACATTCTTGAAGTCATTCTATTTCGTTCCATCCTCTTTACATGTCCAAACCATCTCAATAACCCTTCCTCAGCCGTCTGGATAATATTACCAGGTATTCTATACCAATAAAGGATGGACTGTAGTTAAAATGATCATCCTATTATTTCTTTAATTTATTACAAGTACAACAAATGCGCTAACACAGTATGTACATAAAATATATAACTATACATGCACGCTTTCCACTCAGGGTAAAGCCTGAACAAAAAAGAAATTAAAGCCATATTTCAAATGCTATATTATCAGATTCTGATTCCACTTAAACTTTGTTACAGTATAAGAAGTGCATTAGCCTGGACATGAATAAGAAGTGACTACTACACATTAACCCACTGACAACAGATTAAGATGGAATGAGTTTGGTATCTGGAATGATTTGGTTAACATCAATAAAGTGCAAGAAAAGTGTCTTTTTTTTGCATTTGAAAGATGGCATCAGATTCTTTCTTCCACAAATTACATTTTAGTTAATTTAAAAAAGGTCCAATCCTATCAAATTATTTTGTAACAAACCATAATATGTCCTGATAAAATTTAAGCCTTTCTGCAGCTTATATAAAGATTTTCTTACTGCCTACATTCAACAGCAAAACTCTAAGATTTCAGACAATGGCATCAAACTACCAATTTTACTTTATAACCGTAAAAGTCTTTAATTTAGTATCTATAAATAGCTGCTGATTGTTGCAAGAAATATTTTTCACTATCTAAAAAAAATTATATTTTAAATCATGTTGATTTCAGCACCAGAGGGCAGCATAATTGCCCTTGAGAGACGCAGGTAGTGGACCTCCAGCAGTGAACAGACGCATGCCTGACCAGTCATAACAGTGGGTATATATTGCAGGAGTGTATTCCACATTGTGAAATACATCATGATACTGATCATCTGCACTTACCCATCCTTTTGTACTCTTTAGTACAACAGCTCGGCCACTGAAAAAAAAAAAAAAGTTTAGACATCTATACTTGACATTACATCTTTATACTCTATTTTCACATCTGTAAACTGCTCATGAGTGTGGTAGGTCTCCACCTTCACATTGCCTTTGCAGTGAAAAGTGTTTTCCTATCTTGTTTTTTCTTTGCTGGCACTAGCTATTCCATTTTTACCATTTTGAGTCTCACATATTTTCTATCACTCATAGTTAATACTGTACAATACTACCAAACCCTAGGACAGTATATTAGGTGCCACTCACCTACATCATACTCAAGAATAGGAACAAAAATCAGGAAAACACACTTGCACAACCTAACCCTTGCATCAATATCCTCAGGTAGTAGAGCACTGCAGAAAGTCTACCAGCCTTTTATTCTTAAATGCACCAGCTTACTCTTCACCTTCACCTGATGCACTACCCTCCTCACTACACATTGCATACGAGATTTTTTTTATTTATTTCCCAGATTCACCTGAGAAAGTTCACTGCATGTGAATGAAACACTGTGTACAGCACCTCTATAAATAAATGTTCTTTTGTTTTCTAGTATATCACTACAGTACTTGTCGCAGTTCCCACAATTTCACATTCTACCAGGAACTGTTCCTTTACAGCTCTTTCTATTTTTTAAAAACCTTAGTATATCTTATTTTGAATAATAGTATTATTATCAAAACCAAGCACTAAACCTGTAAGGGCCATACAGCATGAAATAATAGGAAAGGAATCCAAATCCTGAAAAATTTTTACTATACTAATACAAATCTAAACATTAAGTTCTATTTTTTTTTTTCCAATGTTTTCTTTACTACTGTATTGCCATCACTACACCATTTGGACTATGCTTTACCATTCTATAAAGAGAAAAGATCAGCATTTTCCATTTGGCTTTCTCGATAGAAGAATCACTGGAACAAAATTGGCATCAATCATACTCAATAATGTAACTTGCTAATTCTCAGGGTGCACAAAGTAATGACTGTCACTGGTTTCTTACCTGTTCATAGTAGATTCCATATATTTTCCAGCTCTCATATCATAAAACATGATGGCTCCCACTCCAGTTCCTATGGTTAGAATATCACCATGGAAGCTTACAGAGCGTATGCCACATCCAGTTATTCGAGCATTAACCTATTGATAAGAAGGAACATTATTTAATATAGTGTGTACTTTTTTTCAAATGGTCATATCAGCTGTTGTTACCTAGGCTCAGGTCAGATCTTTGAAAACTTAATATTTTAGGCTTCATTTTTTCAGTAAATCTTTTTCACTAATGTGCACGTATATCTTAAGAAAATGTAAATATCTGTGTTACTTTTACTTCAGTTTTTGCAACTACAGTAGTTGAAGAATTGAGACACTTATGCAACACATGGGAATCTTTATTGAAGAAACGTTTTGCCACACAGTGGCTTCATCAGTCCAATACAAAGTAGAAATGGGTAAGGAAAGGAGAAGTTTGAGGTAATCAGTCCCTCAACCTGGAATCGATGTGCTCAGTCCATCACTCTTGTAGGAAATGCAGCATAGGGCCGGAGAGGTGGCTTATATATTGCAGTCAGATGAGGTGAAGTAGGAGGAGGTGGGATCACAGTGGGACCTGCCACTAGTGTAAGTAGGTCGTCGTCCAAAGGTTGTTGCAACATCATGGGATCTTGGTACAAAGACTTCAACACTTGCCCAACCTTTGGACGACGACCTACTTACACTAGTGGCAGGTCCCACTGTGATCCCACCTCCTCCTGCTTCACCTCATCTGACTGCAGTATATAAGCCACCTCTCTGGCCCTATGCTGCATTTCCTACAAGAGCGATGGACTGAGCACATCGATTCCAGGTTGAGGGACTGATTACCTCAAACATCTCCTTTCCTTACCCATTTCTACTTTGTACTGGACTGATTAAGCCACTGTGTGGCGAAACGTTTCTTCAGTAAAGATTCCCATGTGTTGCACAAGTGTCTCAATTCTTCAATTTGTCGGTTTTCTAAACCATTCATCACAACTACAGTAGTTGCTGCATACATAACTCATCATCTGACAACCATTCCCCTCTTTGAGGTCACTCCACTTCCCAACCACCATGGTACTGAAGAAATACTTCCTGACATCCCTGAGACTCACTCATGTGTGTCTTTAACCTCCAGTTGTGCCCTTGAGTACCTGTTTCCCACCACCAATTTGGTTTCGTCTTCTCTAAATGCTCAAACCACCTCAACAACCTCCCATCCCTCGGCCCTTTGAATTTATCCTTGACAATCCCACTCCATCTTCTAATTTCTATGCATAGTACTCACACCATACACTGCTCTCAAACATGTCATCTGCACTGCCTCCACCTACCTCCTCACTGCAACATTTAACCCTATGAGGGTCAAAACCTCCAATCCTTAACTCACTCTCAGGGTTGAAAATCAAAAAAAAAAAAAAAAAAAAAAAAAAAAAAAAAAAAAAAAAATGACAGAGAATCTTTTCCCAATGGTAATGACACCGAAAGTACGAAATTTGATGGAAAAACACATGAAATTATGCTCTCGCAAAGTTAGCGATATCGGCAACATTTATGCATCGGTGATTTTGCCCACTTTGAGCCCTATTTTCAGTCAATTCCATTGTTCCAGTCAACTAAAATCATAGCTATTTCGCTAGAACTCCATTTGTTCTATCGATTGAGTACAAGAAACCATCCATTTACCGATTTCAACTACCCAATAAGGTGGTCAGAATCTGGCAATTTAGCCAATTTCAACCAAATTTCAAAAGATGCCAATTTCAAAATGGGGTCCAGAGTAAACAAGACAGACATTCCTGGCACTAAAATAACATTTTCTCTGTTCATTAGTCACATCTCCAGGCCCCTCTTATATTACTCTTGCTTTCCATTTTGAATTTTTATTCTCACAAAAAAAGAGAAGATTTACTGTTATGCAGACTACTGCATTATTGTAAAAATGGTATAAATAATATCAGCGCACTTGTGAAAGAATATTAGACTCACCAGTTGCCGTGCATTGGACACATGGCGTGATTCGTTTACTCCTGAACATTGGCAAAACTCGAACATTTCTGCTACTTTGAGCTCAATTTCAACGTACGTACTTTTCATCGTGAAACCAATCAAAATCATCACTATTTCTGTAATATATCTTCCATTCTATCAAATGAGAACAAGAAAACGAGAATACAGTGGACCCCCGCATAACGATTACCTCCAAATGCGACCAATTATGTAAGTGTATTTATGTAAGTGCGTTTGTACGTGTATGTTTGGGGGTCTGAAATGGACTAATCTACTTCACAATATTTCTTATGGGAACAAATTCGGTCAGTACTGGCACCTGAACATACTTCTGGAGTGAAAAAATATCGTTAACCGGGGGTCCACTGTATAACCATAAATGCCATACAAAAATAAATTGCAAAGTCGCTGTTTTAAACCAAAAACATGGTCGGAGTTTTTTTTTCTCATTATGCACTGCATACTGAAGGATTTTTTTATACTGCGCACATTGACCACACAGACCCATTCCTTCATATGTAGGAATACCAGCTTTCTTCTACCAGATTTGAAGGCACTGGAATTTTGGCGTAAAAATAGGGGACTGACACTGGCTATCAAGCCATACATATACAGGATTGACCCTGAAAGGGTTAAAGGCTCACACCCATCCAGTGGAACCTCGGCTTACAAGCTTAATCCGTTTCGTGACCTAGTTCATATCCCAATCTGCTCGTATGCTGAGTCAATTTTCCTCACTTAAATTAACTGACATGCCATTAATCTGTTTCAGTGTAATTCCTGCTCAGGAGGCAGGACAAAATACACTTCAAAATAATGCTAATATCAACTCTATGGCTTATTTATCTATCACAATTCATCTAACATAATAAACAATATAAATAACATAGAAACCTGATTACAGTGGACCCTCAGGTAACAGCGGCATCGGCTAATGCCAAAATCGGATAGCAGCACGATTTTGTGTCAAAGTATTGGCTCGCCTAACACCCAAGAACTCTGTTAAGGACATTCGTCCCTAACGTGTCCGCATGACGTGAACCCGTGTACAGCCAGTGTGCCATTGTTTACAAGCCAGAGAGGACAATTCCACGTGTACATGCGATATATTTTGTATTACAGTGGACCCTTGACCAACGATGGGATCGACTAATGATAAAATCGGGTAACGATGCATTTTTGCATAAAAATATTGGCTTGACCAATGATGAAAAACTCAGGTAAGGACATTCGTCTTGAACACGTCTGCCTGTCCGTCCAGCCTGAGCGCCTCAGCTGCCCTGCCTTCAGCTAGTGCGCCAATGTTTACAAGGCAGTGTGGACGGTTCCATGCACACATGCGATACATTTTGTATTATTCCATTGTTTTTAGCGCTTGTAACTGCTAAATAAGCCACCATGGGCCCAAAGAAAGCTTCTAGTGCCAACCATGTGGTAAAAAGGGTGAGGTGTACTATCGAACTGAAAAGAGATAATTGCAAAGTACGAAAGTGGAGTGCGTGCCTCTGAGCTGGCCAGGTTGTATAACAAACCCCAATCAACCATCGTTACTATCTTGGCCAACAAAAAGGCAATCAAGGAAGCTGTTGTTGCAAAAGGTGCAAGTATGTTTTCAAAACAGAGATCGTAAATACTTGAAGATGTGGAGAGACTGTTGTTGGTGTGGATAAACAACAAGCAATTATCAGGAGATAGTGTTTCTCAGTTAATAATACAGTGGACCCCCGCTTAACGATCACCTCCCAATGCGACCAATTATGTAAGTGTATTTATATAAGTGCATTTGTACGTGTATGTTTGGGGGTCTGAAATGGACTAATCTACTTCACAATATTCCTTATGGGAACAAATTCGGTCAGTACTGGCACTTGAACATATTTCTGGAATGAAAAAATATCGTTAACTGGGGTCCACTGTATGTGAAAAGGCAAGGCAGTTGCATGTGGATCCCATTAAGAAAATGCCTGGAACTAGTGGTGATGTTAGTGAATTTAAGGCCAGCAAAGGTTGGTTTGAGAGATTTAAGAATCGTAGTGGCATACACAGTGTGTTAAGGCATGGTGAGGCTGCCAGCTGTGACCAAAAAGTGGCTGAAAAATATGTGCAGGAATTCAAGGAGTACATAGACACTGAAAAATTAAAACCCCAACAAGTGTTTAATTGTGACGAAACAGACCTGTTTTGGAAGAAAATGCCAAACAGGACCTGCATTACACAGGAGGAAGAAGCACTGCCAGGAAACAAGCCTATGAAAGGCAGGCTAACTCTAATGTTTTGCAGTAATGCTAGTGGGGATTGCAAAGTGAAGCCTCTACTCGTGTATCACTCTGAAACTCCCAGTGTGTTCAAGAAAAACTGTGTTGTCAAGGCTAATTTGTGAGTGATGTGGAGGGCAAACAGTAAGGCATGGGTCACTAGGGACATTTTCTATGATTGGTTCTATCATGTGTTTGGCCCCACTGTGAAAAATTACCTCCTGGAAAATAAATTGGCCTTCAATTGCCTCCTTGTATTAGACAATGCTTCTGCTCATCCTCCAGACCTGCCAGAGCGAATTGCAGGGAAGTTGAGCTTCATCAAAGTGAAGTTTTTGCCTCCTAATACCACTCCTCTCCTCCAGCCCATAGACCAGCAGGTCATTTCAAATTTAAAAAAACTGTACACCAAAGCAGTGTTTCAGAAGTGCTTTGAAGTGACCTCAGACATTGAAGTGACCCTAAGAGAGTTTTGGAAAGCTCACTTTAGTATCCTCAGTTGCATAAACCTTATAGGTAAGGCTTGGGAGGGAGTGACTTGCAGGACTTTGAACTCTGCTTGGAGGATATTGTGGCCACAATGTGTACAAGAGAGGGATTTTGAAGGGTTTGGGGCTAACCCTGAGGAGCCTATACCAGTTGTGGAATCTATTGTGTCATTGGGGAAGTCCATGGGGTTGGAGGTTAGTGAGGAGGATGTGGAAGAGTTGGTGGAGGATGACGGATGAAGAACTAACCACTGATGAGCTGCAAGAGCATCTGCAACAGCAAAAGGCCACAACTGAGGAAATTGCTTCAGAGGAGGGGAGAGAGATGGATAAAGTTGCCTTCTTCAATGATTAATCCTTTCAGGGTTTC